CCCCCTCTTCCAACCCCCCCCCAAACCCCCCCTACCCCACCCCAAATGTGGGGACAGTACACTCAAAGCCAACCCTAACCCAGAAAACTTTCTCTTCATCTCTCTTCCAAATCTTTCAACTTTAACTCTTTTCAAAATTAATTTTTGTTGTACTTTAACTCTTGTTTCTCTTTTCTTGAAAAACAGAGGAAAATTTGGGTTTTTTATAAGGGAAAATGGAGGTAAAAAGTTTCAGCTCTGATGTAGCAGCTTTTGGGAAAATAGTGGTGAACTCTGTTCTTGAAGCTGTTGTTGCTGAGACCCTTTTGGTTACTCAGAGATCTGTTGCTTCTCTGCTCATGGTGGTATAAATAAAACACTTTTCCCCTTTTGTTTTCATGTAAAGTTTTGATTTTTATGTTGTGGGGTTTAGTTTTCTTGCTCTTTTTTTGCTTCTGTTGTGTGTGGTTTTGTATTTGAGTCCAACCCCCCTGACCAAACTATGTTCTTGTTATTTGGGGTTAGTTTTTTTGGTTCTTTATTGAGTAATTGAGGTTATATAGTTGATAATTTAGCTGTTTCATTTGAATTTCTAGTTTTATGTGTTTTGTTATTGTGTTCTCGAAGCTGTGTATATGGACTGTGTTTTTTTTCAAGTAACTGTTTACTGGAGAATTCAGTTTGTTTCTTCATTGTTAGTGTTTGATGTGCTACTGTGTTGTGTTATTCTTCATGGTTTTCAGCATGGATTCTTTGTTATGTATTTGCTTTACATGTCTTTTTCTGTTGATATATGTTTTACATGAGCGGAGGATCTATTACAAATAGTTTCTCTACCTTCACGAGGTAGTAATGATTAGGTTATTACATTGTGGCTTTTCAGACCTTTACCTTTAGATTGTCTAGAGTTAGTTAATTAGTTTTAGAAAACTTTTACTTGTACACTTAGTGTTGAGGGTCTATTGGAAGCCGTCTCTCTACTGTCAAGTTGCACGGTAAGGTCTTTTTACAGTTTACCCTTCCCAGACCTTACAATGTGGGATTACACTAGGTATGTTGTTGTTGTACTTAATCGTCAGATCTTGTAACCTGTTTGACTCAGTGTTGTGAAAGGCGGTCACCAATGGCGAGAGGCGAGGCAACCCTTCATCGCCTATTAAGCTTTGTGGCACTCGCATCTTCAAAAGGCGCCAAAGACGTGGTCTTCTGTATTTTCTTAAGAAAAGAAGGCGACCAATTTAGGATTTCTAAAGTTATTAAGATAATTTTAGGGCTTTCTTTCCAAATTTTCACAATTGCACTTTTAGACTGAGATTGTGACTCCAACCAGGTCTACTCGACTAGACTTCTTTGGTGACTCCATAGTCCAACCAGTACATATTTCTTCTTCCTTTGTTTCTTTTTCCTTCTTCAAACTTCTGAGTTATTTCTATCTCTGTTTTGACTTTTGTTATGCTTTTTTTTTTCTCATTCAAGTTCTAGATTTTTAGTATCTACAATCTATTTTCAGTTGAATTGAAATATTGTTAATATGTTATTGCTATTGAGATTTTGATTATTTATATATGTAGTTAAATATTTTAAACTTTTTTGTTTATTTGGTGCTGGCCACACTTCAAAATTGTGAGCGCCTTGCAGCTCATCTCGCCTTGTGGCAAGTGCGGACCTTTTGTCGCCTTTTGCATTCAAAACATTGGTCTGACACTGACTATCAAAAGACCAACTTGTAAAACCATAATTTATTTGAATACATGAATGTTGAAAGTTGAAACTGTTTCATTAACAAAGCTGTTACTTGTATTTCATCCGGTAGACTAATAAATGTTTCAAACATAAAGTAACCTATTCCTAAACCAGCATTGAATGTCAATGCCAGATTCAAGTAATTGTAACTTCTCTCCCCTCTTGTTATATGAATATTCTGTATTTAAGCTCCATTGGGAAATGTTCCTTCACTAGTTCTATTAGTGAAAATGGAGTCGAGATACGCCATGTCCCTACACTTGTTATTCTCCTTCATGTTGACATGTATGGTCATGTCAGTACAAGGAGAGCTTACGAAAGTTCCATTAAGGCCTTATCTTAGAGGTAATCCAGGTCTATTACCACAAGCAATTGCACCTTGTCATGATAGTTCAGTGGTCCAAAGAGTAGAGGATTGTGAAGGACAGGTACGTAAAAAGGGCTAATCCCATGTTGAATTCTGTGAACCTTGCTTATTGTGAGGCTGTTAATGTTACGAAAATTTCTAACTTGCTGGCCTACAATGTTTGGAGATGGATATTTGAACGTGGGTTGTGTTTGATTTGTAATTGACTACTGCAAATGTTCAGTAGCGTCTCTTCCTGTCCCCCATCTGCCTAAACCTTAGTGGGAGTAACCTAGTGGGGAGGATGCAGGTACAGTACGTCGAGGTGCAAGTAAGCTGCCCCAAACACTACAGTTATTAAAAAAAAAAGAGATAGTCTAGTAGTGTCTCAAAGCTGATTTACATTGTTCACATCCTAACCACACAAAGGCCTCTTGAGATGAAATCATCTCCTTGTTAACGTAGTACATAGGTGTTTTGTGTTTTCCTTTTCCTATAATTCAGACACGTCTGTGTGTCATTCTCTAATAGATGTTCTCTGTTCTACATCCCTATAATTCATATACCACTGTTTGTTATGCTCAGATTTAAGGATTATAATTGTAGAAGTTGGTTGAAACAATGGTTTTAACCTACCTTATCAAAAAGAAAGTTGAAGAAACAAGAGTTCTCTAAAGCATACTATCATGAGTCATGAATTTTTGGAAGATTATGGAAGAAGTAGCATAGAGAATGTTTGTGCAAGTATTGTTGCTCGTATATTTGAAAATATGGACAGATCAGACTAATATTTTGAACATCGATATGTGCTGTCAAATATGGTTTAGTTCAATTTTCTGCTATATGTGACATATTTTACTGATTTTGTTGTTCTACTGGTCATAATTATTCTGGCTTGGTACTGTTTCTTTGAACAGAGCTTCATGTTTGATTGTGACGAGTCATCTTCTTTCCATGACATTTGTCACCACTGTTAATGCTAATGCTAAAGAATTTTTATGTATGTAGGCATTTCGTATGTTTAGTGCCCTTCTTGAGACATTTGTATCTCTGTATTTGTACTCACAAGCCTTGAAGATTTAATGTACTTCTGGCTTTTACCTTGAATTCCGGTCGTTCTGCCTCGTTTAACATAACTGCTTTTGTTTCATTCAATACTATGAAACTTCCTGTTCACTGCTACATGTCATTAAGCTTACGGTGCACTGCTTGGGGACTTGATGTTCCTCAAATTTTTGCCTAAATCCCCTTACGGGAGTCCTTTGGATTTCAGGTGGGATGTTTGCTGAAGGATGGTGCTCCATTGTCAGAGTTGGCAACCATTGCTCCATCGTCAAAGTTTGTAAGCATTGCTCCATTATCGGAGCTGATAAGCCCCGATAGAAGGTATTATTCGTCTCATGTGCATTCCTGGTATCGCTGAACTGAAAGTTCCATGTTACAAGCTTCAACAAGTCTAATGATGTCAATTTTAGGTTTCCCTTTGAGGCGCTTAGTCAAAAGAACCAAGCTTGTACCGAGAACAAAGATGGCAGCGATACAGAGGATGATAATGACGACGATGATGGAGATGCTGAGGATCAGGATGACGACGATGATGCAAACGACGAAGACTTCTCAGGTGAAGAAGGGGGAGATGACGAAGAAGAAGAAGGAGATCCTGAGGAGGATCCTGCGGCTAATGGCAACGAAGGAAGTGATGACGAAGATGACGACGACGACGATGATGGTGATGAGGGGGCTGATGACGACGATGACGATGATGATGAGGAAGAGGAAGAAGACGAGGAGGAAGACGAGGATCAACCACCTGCTAAAAAGAGAAAGTGAAGTGTTTGTTAGATGTTTATATTCTGCTTCTCTATCATGGTTGAGGAGAGTATGTAGTGGAAAGAGAAGGGGAGGTTTAGCTTTTCTGTCTCTTGACAGTGTAGGAAATTAAACATCCTTGTTCACAACAAATTAAGTGTTTTTTATCATGTGGATTGTTACTTATGTGCTACATGTTACATTTAACATTTAATTGGACTTCATATTCTGCATACTTGGTTAAATATCTGTCGATCTATCAGAAACCACCTCTCTTCCCTACATCTTACCTTCCCTAGACAGCACTTATGCGATTCATCGAAAGCAAACTTTCTATCTCACAAAGATAGGGATAAGATTTGCATGCATTCTACCTTTTCTAGATCTCACTTGCGAGATTATATTAAGTATGTTGTTGGTGTCTTTTTTAGATCTCACTTGTGGAGTTACACCGAGTATGTTGTTATGTTGTTGTTGGTAAGGTATCTATCAATCTATGGGAAACAACTTCTCTACCTTATAAAGGTAGAGATGAGGTTTGAATATATGTTATCCTCAGAATCTCATATGCGGAATACTTTTTTTAAATTTCACTTGTGAAATTACACTGGATATATTATTGTTGTTGATAAAGTATCTACCCATCTATAGAAAACGTAAAGTCTGTATATACTCTATCTTTCCTCGGATTTTACTTGTGGTAGAATCAAGAAAGAGAAGTTTGATAGTAAACTTATAAATCTCTCAAAATTTGGAGGTTGAGTGGAGGTACATGGTCCACTCAATAGTGAAAATAAATTATTTTTAAAATTGAAGTTAAAATTTTAAAAACAAAATAAATTTAAATAATAAAATTTTAAAGGTTGAATCGATAAATATTAAATTATTGAGTAGTATTTAAATCAAAGTTATGAACTTAGCTTAATCTAACTCCACATTTTTTGAATCCTCATGTCTTATAAACTAAAGACATTGACTTTTTAAGTTGCATATTAAATTTCATTTGAGGAATCAACAAAATATAATAAAATCAAAAGGAAACTTTCTCTACAAGCTCAATTTTTGCAGCAAAACACAGAAAAAAACAGCTTTAAAATGGCCAATTCAAGTTCCAATATCTAAAATGCCAAAAAGCAAAAAGAAGATCATAACATTTTCTGCAAATGTAGTGTTTTCTAGTAAAGAACTATTGACAGAGATCCTCCTTCATCTCCCAGTAAAATCACTCGTTCATTGCAAATGTGTATCGCGTAAATGGCTTTCTAGCCCTCAGTTTACGCGCCTCAGAGTCCCCTGTTTTCGCCCTGCTAGTGGTGTTTTTCTGTACCATTCTTCATTCTTAACCAACCCTTACAAAAAGTTTCTGTCATTTAGCCTGGAAAAAGTTCCCCTTTCTACAACATGATCATCACAATCCTATTGCAATCCTGCAGTGGACTTCTGCTCTGTCATACAGTTCATAACCCGTTCACGTTTGATGAAAACTACTACATATTCAACCCGACTACTCATCAATTCGTCACACTTCCCAGGCCATTATCAGGGGATGTTATCGGAATGACTTTAGCCTTTGATCCATGGAAATCACCAAATTACAAAGTTATCTCCCTCCAAATTTCTAAACTTGAACCTACAAATCACCAGATAGAGATTTACTCATCTGAACATATGAAATGGAGAGTTTCTGGACAAACTTTTCCTAGAGATTACGATATACGTTTCAAAAAGGGACTAGTTTACTGGAATGGAGCTATTTATGTGTCATGTATCAAACGTTTCAACATAGAACAAGAAAAGTTTGAAGAAGTTGACATACCTGAAGTCCAGGATCACGAAGATGATGATTACAGGATCGTCTACTTTGGAGAGTCTTATGGCCATTTGCACCTTATACAAGTGAATCGCCAGAACTTAGCTTTGTACAACATCTACGAGATGAAACATGATGGTGCAGGTTGGTTCTTGAAGTACGAGATGAATGTTGAAGACGTTGTGTTGGCATTCCCTCATATGATTCGAGATTTCCTTGAGACAACAGAATTTCATTACTATGGCATGGCTGTGCTAGATGTTGTAAGGGGAGATAAAGAAGATGATTCATTCTTGATTTTGCATATTACTGAAATGGTTATACTACGTTACAACTTAGTGGATAAGTCATTCTACAAGCTCTGGGTTTTGACAATGGTGTTCATGATGCATTTGCTTGGTGTCTGCATTTTGATAGATCAAACACTTACCAGTACATTGAATCTACCTATTGTTGGTAAGTTCACAAGCACCTTGCAACGTTATCGTTGCTTGCTTCTTCAACTTGGGGGAATACTGACAGCTTGTTTGGATGGTCGTTAGTTTAAATACAATGTTTGGTTTGATTGTCACTTGATTTTATTGTATGTTACATCAAAATACCTTATTTTAAATCTTGTCAAAAATTCTCTACTGTTATGATCAAAGTAACCAGAACTGACAAAGCTAACAATAAAAGATGAGAAATCAGACAACATACCCAATATAATCCCACAAGTGGGGTCTGGGGAGGGTAGACTGTATGAAGACCTTGCCTCTACTGCATAGAGATAGAGAGGTTGCTTCTGATCGACCCTCGGCTTCAAATAAAGCATTTCCAAGCAGTTTGACAAAGAGACTGGTGAGAAACATAAAGTTCAACATTAAGCTTAATACTAAATACTCCATCTCCACAAATAGAAGATATTGATGTTCTAAATAGAACCCAAAAATACATAAGAAACTCTATCAGCAAGAGCGTATGTGATTAGGAAACCACAAAATATTATTTCAGGCTTGTCAAGTCTCGTCCCAAACATATGCGAGATGGTAAGACTCAACTGCAAAATACTGAGGCAATGAACACTTCAAGCCTTCGAGATATGGCGTACCATCTAGAAGGTAAACCTGCAGTGTAATAGATATATAGCCTGTTTAGTCATTTAAATTGAAATCACCACAAGAAATCAAGTGATATGAATTGATGCCTGACATAATTGTCGTGGTGTTCAGATTTCACTCTGTTCACAAAACATGGAAAACGCCAAAGAAGACGCAAGAAATCCAGTACGATTGGAGAAACTAATCATGCTGAAGGTTAAAATATCAATACACTAGGTACAGCTGCAATCTCCAGAGGTTTTTGTAAAACCGTTGGCAATTGAGAAGTGCATCGCAATCATTTTACCATATTGCACAAACAAAACCTCCAAGAACTCAATCACTTGTAATAGCAAGCACTCTATAATGTTCGCTCATGTATCAAAATTTGCCGTTGAACTAATCCAAATTGAGGCATTTTTGAGTCACAACATAACGAAGGGTAAAGTTAACCTATTTCGAATAGTTCAAGAATGTTGCATATCAAATTGCATTTGAGAAATCAAATGAAAATCCAACAACCAAAAAAGAGGAAACTTTCTTTACAAGATCAATCATTTGCACACAAAAAATTGAGCTTTAAAATGGCCATTTCGATTCCAAAATACTACAACAGATACAAAATGCCAAAGAGCAAAAAGAAGATCATAACCTTTTCTGCAAAATGTAGTGTTTAATATTGAAAGACTATTCACAGAGATCCTCCTTCTTCTGCCTGTACAATCACTTAGCCAATGCAAATATGTGTTAAAAAATGGTGTTCATTAATCTCTAATTCTCACTTCACGCGTGTCAGAATTCCCTATTTTATCCCCGCAAGTAGCATCCTTTTGTAACATTATTCATACTTAACCAACCCTTTTAGACTTTTTCAGCTCATTACACAACTGTAATGAAGCTTTCTATGTAAATACATTGCAGCAGTTTACTTCCTAACACTAATCATATACACACTTCACAAATTTCATTCCATTCGCCAATTTATCAAGCATAACATCAGATCATGTGTATCCAAGATTACTTCACACAAATGCACAGATACACCATTCAAATACATGTAAATCACAACTGATACATAGAAAAGATGCAGCAAAATAGGATAATTAATCAAGTACAACAAGATTCACTTACTAAGGCAACTTTCCGGCCCGGAAAGTAGCAAACTTTGACACTTCTGAATAGCTGTAATCAATGTCATTGTCCTTCAAGAATGCCTCAATCATTGCTTTAACTTTCTCTGGCTCCAAGCTTTCACATTCAATCTCATAAAAAGTACCAAAGTCATACATAGTCTCATCTACCTCCAATTCCACACCACACCACTCAAACACATTCCTCACATTCTTAAACCCACCCAATCCAATAAACCCTTCTTCCCCAACATGAAATTCCTCTCTTGCCCTTTTCAAAACCCTAGAATCTACCTCCATCAGTTTTCTAGGGTTAGAAACGCATTCATATCCAATTTTCGGATCTAATTCCTCTTCATCCTCTTCCACTCGACTAACACCGTCGATAATTACAGCTTTAGCCTTGAGACACACCATGCATTTCACTTTCTCCGAGTTCTCATAGAATCGAAGCCGGAGAACAGCCCGGCGCGAGCTCAACTCGCCGGCAGCGCCATCGAAGAAAGTGTTACGCTGGTGGTGTGTTTTTTTGTGGTGCGATGAGAAAAGTGAGAGTACCTTCTGATGTGCTGATGAATCAGGCAACCTGAGCTTCACTTCAACCTCCATTAATTGAGGCCGATGCGGTTGTTTTTGGAGGAAGGATCGACTGTTGATCGGTCGAAGTGTTGGAGGAGAGAGGAGACACCGGCTGTGGCAGCTCCGCCGGTACCGGCGGCGGTACTGGTGGAGGAAGAGGCGGCGATGAGGGCGGCGCGTTTGCGAGCTTCTTCGAGTTCTTCTTTGTCTTCGATTTTTACTTCGATTTTGCTGGGCTTTCTTCTCAGCATTTCTCTTTCGTAAATCTCAAGCTAAAAAAGTTCAGTCTTTTTTAATTATATAAAGAAAAGTGGAATTTTAATTTTCATAATGAGACCTTAGGTTATCTTATAATTTTGAAAATACTCCAAATTTTTCATTCGGAGTGACTTTCGTGATGGAAAAGATTAGAGAATGAGGTGAATTACTTCGGACAAGTGAAAGAAAAGATTTATTGATGGGCTAAACTGGATGTTACGAGTCGTAGGAGTATATCGAAGAACATCTGTGAAGAGGTGATTAAATAGGATATAGTTTGTGTGTAGTTTACTGAAGACATCTTCTTAACACTATAAGATATGGAGATTGAATACAATATTTGTTTTGGAGTGTACCTTAAAATTTATTGTTATTGTATTGTTTAAATTCATCGATAGGCAAATGAAAATTTTATTTTATATAACGATCGATTTGGTGTGATTACGTCATTATCTTAATATTTTCTTCTCATTTTGTCTTTATTTATTATTTAATAATTATATTTCAGGTTTTACAAAACATTTTCATAGTAGCTCTATTACATATGCTGTTTTTCTTTTAGATTTACCATTCAAATAATGCATGTATCGATGAAGAACGATACAATATACTGAAACATTGTATTTATTAAAACAATACAGTACAATACAACACAACACAACACAATACAATACAATATAATACACTATGAAACGATACGTAAGAGTGTGAGGGATAGGGTAGATGTTTAGTAAGTGTTTAATCTTGATTTTCACTAGAGTAATAAAATTAGCTTATGAAAACACGACTTACTAAATTTGCTTAAGTTAAGCCAGGTTTTCCGTTTATTTATTTCTTCAATCAATTTGACTTGTTTGATTCAGTCTATTTAATTAACTAAGTAAATATGTACTCCTTTCGTTTCAAATTTTTTTTCTCTATTTTCTTTTTAGTTTGTTTAAAAAAGAATGACTTATTTCCTTTTTTGGTAACACTTTAACTTTAACATTTCACCTGACATGTTTAAGAAGGATATTTTAGTACATTTGACATAATTTAATTTAGAACCACAAAATTGAATTATTTTTTTAAACACCTTTTCAAGTTAAACTAAATCAATCCTTTTAAAACAGAGGGAGTAACTCAAATTGACAAATGACAAATCTTTGAGATTATTATCAAAAAAAAAATTATTTAATTTTATGTAATAAGAGTATATAGCCATAATAATTTTAAAAATGAACATATAGAGAAATTTAAACTTTAGTAAGAATTATATTGGACAATTTGTGTTATAACCCGGTTTTAGCCAATCAATTACAACCAATTTTATTGATTTCAAGAATCATTTCTTGCTAATTTTTATTGCTTTGGATAATATTGTACTACCTCCATTTACTTATATTTGTTCATAATATTATTTTTTTTTTCCATTTTATGTGACATTATTTTTATTTTGGTTAGTTTAAAAAAGAATGTCACATTTCCTTATATGATAAGTATTTAAAGGTATAATTTCTTTTTTACCCTTGTTATTTCCACTTAATTTAAAAAATATTACTCAAATACATTTATGAGGAGAGAGAAAAAAAAGTCTACTTTTGAAAAACAATTTGATAAACATTTCAAAGTCTTTATTTATTTCTTAAACTTCATGCCCTGTCAAATATTGCTACATAAAATAGAACGGAGGGAGTAATAATTTTTATTTTTATTTGTCTATTACAACATATTAAGAGAAAAATAATATTTTTTTTTCTATTTTATTCTCACTATTAACTAATAAATTTCCAAGTTATATATCTCCTTTTTAAAAAAAATTCTAATAGTCATGAAGATTAAAGTAAAATATTCACTTTTATTTATTATTTTTAAAGTAAATGAAAAGTTCATTATAAATAAGTAAAAAATAATTATTTTTTTCAGAATTTATTGCGGACAAGTAAAAATAAAGAAAAGATATTAATTTGAAGTATGTTTAATAGGATAACATATCTTTTATTTTCCATTATATTAGGACCTCAATAGTCAACACCAGACCAAATAGTAGAATTTTTTGTGTTTAATAAATATAAAAAAAAAATTATTTATCATATTCTAGAAATTGTAACTTAAATTGTAGACCCACAATTAATATTAGTACTGAAACTGTTTTCATTAACAATGCTGTTAATCTTTTTATTTCATTTATTAGTATATCTATTAAATACTTTACATACATGAACATTATACAAGTCACAAGTCCAAAATTCCAAGCAAATATAACTATAAAAATTCTAAAATTCCAAGCAAAAGTTTAATTTTTCATTGCCCTTGTTGTATAGCAAAATGGTGCAAAAATTCTTCATTTCCCCCCTCATTTTCTTCATAATCACATGTGGAGCTATTTTTGTACAATCTGAAATTACTAGAATTCCGAAAAGACCTTATCTCAGAGGTAATCCTGGACTATTACCACTAGGTGTTACATTTCATAAAGCTATTAGTCTGAGAGTTTCTGACAGTTATGTTGTTAATCCTTCCGTTAGCAAGAATTCTGATACTAATTCAATAGTATCGAAGAGACCTTACCTTAGAGGTAATCCTAGACTATTACCACGAGGTGTTGCATTTAATACACCTAGTAGCCCAAGATTTTCTAAAAATCATGTTGTTAGTCCTCCGGTTAGCAAGAATTTTAATACTAATACAATTGTACCGAAGAGACCTTACCTTAGAGGTAAACCTGGACTATTACCACGAGGTGTTACATTTCATAAAGCTATTAGCCCAAGAGAATCTGAAAATCATGTTGCTAGTCCTCCCGTTAGCAAGAATTCTAATACTAATTCGATTGTACTAAATAGACCTTACCTTAGAGGTAAGCCTGGACTATTACCACGAGGTGTCATATTTCATAGAGCTATTAGCCCAAAAATTGTTGAAAACCGTGTTGTTAGTCCTTCCGTTAGCAAGAATTCTAATACTAATTCAATAGTACCAAAGAGACCTTACCTTAGAGGTAAGCCTCGACTATTACCACGAGGTATTACATTTCATAGAGCTACAAGCCCAATAGTTTCTGAAAATCATGATGTTAGTCCTATCACTACTAAAATTTCTAATATTAATTCGATGGTACCAAAAAAAACTTATCTTAAAAGTAATTACGAAATATTACCATAAAATGTTACATTTTATAAACCTACTAGCTCAAGACTTTCAGAAAATAATCATGATTAACATGTTGTTAGTCCTGCCACTAGCAAGACTTCTAATACTAATTTTATAGAACAATATGTATCGTGATAGAAAAATTTTAATTCAATAAAACATTACACTTGAATCTTAGTTCGTCGTTTTAAAAAAAAATAATTTATGTTCTCTTCTCTAAATTATTTAGCAGGATGTTTTTAGTATTATATTTAATTTTCATACTTGTTTATGTTATGCATTATTTTAATCTCTGATTATAAATAGTCACTTTACATCACAATTTATATATACATGGGCGGATCTACCCTTGCCCGAGGGGTGTCAAGCGATACACACCCCTTCGTTGAAAAATTACGTTGTATAGATAGGTTAAATTTTGATTTTATTCCTATATATATTGTAGTTGACACTTTTTAACACAGTAATCGCTATCATTTTAATTTTGAAGGCCAATTTTTCTTTTAAAAAAATTCAAAAAACTTATAATAAATGAATAAATACCTAATTTTGAAAAGCAATAGTATTGGTTGAGCTACTTCTAGATTTTTAATTATCTTCTTTTTAAAAAATATTCTTTGTGTTTTAATTTAATTTTCCAAATTTTAACTTGACTCATGAATTAACGAGCTATCAAAAAAATTAAAAAATTTAAAATAGACTAAAAAATAAAATTAATTAATTAAAATAATGTACTAATGGTCATAAATTTTTAATGTCAATATGACCGAAAATTTATATATTTTAAATGTTGATCAAAGCTCAATAACTCGAATGTCACGACCCAAAATCGGGCTGCGACTGACACCCACACTTACCCTTCTATGTGAGCGAACCAACCAATCTATCCTTAACATTTCAATATAATATCAACAGAAAGTAATGCGGAAGACTTAAACTCATTAAATAAAGACCAATTCATTAACTTCTAAAATTCAACATCTATTATTCCCTAAAATCTGGAAGTCATCACCACAAGAACATCTACGATCAAATGACTAAACTAAGAGTATTCTAAAAGCTAAAAATACATAAGAAGCTAGTCCATGCCGGAAGTTCAAGGCATCAAGACTTGAAGAAGAAGATCCAGTCCAAGCTAGAAGCATTAGCTCACCCTGAATTTCCGGTGTAGTAAGACTGGCTTGAATTACTGTTGAGTCGAAGGCGACGGCACGTTTGCTGCACTCCACAAATAAACAAGAAGAAAACAATAAAAGTAGGGGTCAGTACAAAACACGGGTACTGAGTAGATATCATCGGCCAACTCAAAATAGAAAACAGTATGTATTAAGCAATATCATAAAATCAACTAATATCCTTAGCATGCAGCATTTACAGTTACCATAACCCTTGGTTACAACACCAAGCACATCAATGAGGACTCACACCTCCTCATCATACTCATTTGGGAATTTAGTTCATTAGATTGGATATATTAACATATTTCAAGATTCATTATCTTTATTCCCCTCGTGTCGGTACGTGACACTCCGCTCCTCAATATACTATCCTGGTGTCGGAACGTGACACTCCGATCCTCATTCTATCCTAGTACCGGAACGTGGCACCCGATTCATATTCTATCCTGGTGTCGGAACGTGACACCCGATCCATATTCTATCCTGGTACCGGAACGTGGCACCCGATCCATATTTTATCCTGGTGTCGGAACGTGACACCCGATCCATATTCTATCTTGGTACCGGAACGTGGCACCCGATCCATATTCTATCCTGGTGTCGGAAAGTGACACCCGATCCATATTCTATCCTGGTACCGGAACGTGGCACCCGATCCATATTCTATCCTGGTGTCGGAACGTGACACCCGATCCATATTCTATCCTGGTACCGGAACGTGGCACCCGATCCCCTAATCTCACCACTTTCGTTCATCAAGCCTTCTTTTATACCAAGGCATCATCATTAACAAAGTAGATTAGGGTTTCTTTTCAAGATTTGGGATTCAATAGCTTCATCATGCTTATTTATTCACAATTACATAATCACATCATTCATGCAAGCATACAATTAAGCATATAGAAGGTTTACAATACTACTAACACATATCATTCGCTATTAAGAGTTTACTACGAATAGCATGAAAACCATAACCTACCTCCACCGAAGATTCGTGATCAAGCAAGCAATTTCTCAAGCTTTGTGTTTTTCCTCTCATTCGATCCTCTCTCTCGTTCAACTTTCTCTCTCTTTCTCTTGTTCTTTCTATTTTCTTTATTCAACCCTCTTTCTTTTACCCTAATTAGTATATAATTAAGAATAAAAGATGGCAATAATAACCCACTAATTAACTTAAGGTTACCTCTTTTAACCCCCAAGAATTTGAGTTATTAATATAAACCCACGAAATATATAATTATAGCAGGAATAGTCCAAAACGCCCCTTTAAAACTTAACCAGAAATCTGACTCCAACTGGGATTACGCAAGCTGTGACGGGTCGTCGCGCCTGCGACAGTCCGTCGTTGGGTTCGTCGCCTCAGCCTGTTTTTCCAGAAATAAAATCTGCTGCTCAAAACGACTAAACAGATCGTTACATCGAATAATTTAAATCATAAAAAAGAAAATGCTACATAAAAAAAAAAGTAATTTATATTTAATGATAATAAATTCATAGGAGTAAAATTCATTACTAGTGTGAATGAGTTTATGGTCAAAGCTTACATAAATTTAAATCTTTTTTTTGAAATAAGAAAAATTGCACAAATTATGATAGAAAAAAAAGCAATTTATATTGAATGATAATTCATGTAATTCAATGTAATGTAAGTGTTAATGAGTTCATTGACTATTTTTATTCCAAAATTTGACTAAAATTTGAAAACTATCATTATTAATTAAATGTAATTGTCACAATAATAATCATGTGTCTTGTAAAACTAATCACAACATAAATAATGTGACATGTAAAAACAATTTGACAGTCAATTTATGCTCACCCTTTTAGTACCTAAACTTCATAAATAGAATTTATTAGATATTACACCTAAGTTTTATAAACTCCTATTTAAGGAGAATGTTAATCACAACTTCATAACCTACCCCTCTCTTTTCACTAAATTCAATTCACTAGACGATTTCCTCTTACACACACAAAAAAAGATGGTTTCACTATTATCTTCATTTCCATGCCTAATTTTAACTCTGGTATTATCTTTCTCGATATTAATCCAACCGGGGCTTCTGTGGCATGCTCCATCTGGTGATTTATCTGAATTTTACGCGATGCCACAATGTTGGATGGCCATGGAAGAAACAATGGTGTGTGGTTATAAGGTCTCCGCGATTCTTGGAGGTAACTTAGGGGATGGTTCTATAGACCTTGTTGCCCTTGGTAACAAGTGTTGCAAGGCTATCAATGATGTTTCAAGTAAATGTACCTTTGAGGGTGTTAATCCACTAAACGCGTTTATTCCTCAATTTGTTAAGGATATGTGCGTTGGAGATGATAAAGAGGGATTTTTTAAACCTAACTATCCCTTTTCATATGATCTATTTCGCGGATCCTTGAAAAACTCTTTGCTCAAGAACAACCATGTGTTACCTCGCAAGCTTCATCCTACCTTGCCTATCCGTCCCTGAATATTTATACTTGGTTTTACAATCAATTGTCTTAATAGTCTCTTGTGTTGTGGCTTCTTGGAGTTTATTTTTCTTTCATTTTCAATTATGGGATTGAAATTGACTTATGGTATTGCAAAGAATTATGGTTTATCCGGTTGATCTCAAAAAAATAATAATTAGAATTTAGACTTAGATGTTGGTATTGTTCGAGTCAAGTTATTTTTGTTTTGTTTATCTTCAGAATATTTTTTTTGCTTGGTTGTTGTGGGATTTATATGAGGATATGTTGTTCCTTAGAATTGTTGAAGAAATGTATTGTCTTTTTAAGCTGGTGGTCGAATTATAAATAAGTCAAACTTTTAAATTAGTGTTTTGACTATATTTTCTTAAATTATGTAAACTTGTTAATGTTAGTAGTTTTCATTAGAATTTATAAAAATCCGACTAAGATGACCATTAAAGTGAAATAATTTTGGAAGACCAAAAAGTAGATGATTTTAATGATCAATTATTATGAATTGATTAATATATCATTTGGACAATCTAATTTTGTATTCCCCCCCCCCCCCCTAAAATTGTTTTCTTTAGTACAATATTCAAACCATGTCTGAATCAACAATGTGTATTTATAACCCTCTAGTATATTTTTTTGATCGAGCTTATTGTACGGGGGTTATCTAGTACGATTTGTCTTTTTGTATGATTTGTAGACTATTATATTAAAGCAAAATTCATCATGTGTGTATGTAAAGAATAGTAGTCATGGGTTTCTTATTCTAAAAATAAAGAAGATACAAAGTGTAAATGTAAAAACAACGTATATAACAAACTCTCTTTAATTACTATTAAATTAAATACACTGAACATATATCAAGTTTAATTTGAATGTACATATTATAAAAAATGTTTATTTACATTTAATATTATTATACAATTACATTAACTATGTTATTATGAAATATTTTATCGACAAAAATCTCTTACATCAACGTATATAAATACCAAACATCCACATCCAAATATATACATTCCCCCGAAGCCCTATTTTAAGAATACTACTAACAAAAGCCAGTCCTCATACTTCTCTACATTACGATAATTGATTTTAAATTTTTAATTCATTCAAAAATTATATTCCCCGCCATTAATTTGAGCCTTCATAAACTCGTCATATTAGTTCGATAAATTTCAAATGATACATATTTAAAATATTTATAAAACACTGTTATATTTAACATGATTGTGAAGTTAATTATTTTAATATATAATATTATTACTAATCTAAAACATTCTTACAATATGTTTTATTAAGTGTCAATCCTTATAGAACTACCTGTTAGATAAATTTTATCCAACTTCTATGTCCCATCATATCAAAGTTACCCGTATGATCAGGATTGTGTCGAGGGATTGTGAATATACTGTCAATTTATGATTGTGCGCTATCCAACCCATATAATAGTGTTTGGACATTATCATGATATCATGATCAGACACATTGGATTCGATATCATCCTCAAAATTATTGAAAGACTGTGAATATAATCTCAATTCATGAAATGTTCAACGTGAGATTAAGACAGGAACTGGATTTCGTATGCAACTTATTATTAGTTCTTTAATATAAAAATAATATTTATTATTATTTTAAATTACCAAAATAACTTTTTTAAATATCGACATAATTAAGAAAATTTTTACCTACATTATTATTATTATTATTATTATTATTATTATTATTATTATTATTATTATCTTTTAATTGAGGCATTTGGAGCGTTAGTAAACCATCAACCCACAATGCTTTTCCTAAACGTATCTATTTTAATTAATAATGGGAACGATTAAAAATTGTTGAATGAACTATTTACTTTATATGAATACTAGCATATATGTATGATATATATGAAATATTAAAAGGAAATGAAAAATTATATTGCTCAGATGTAAATGCATCATTCAGTGCAAACCAATAAATTTCAATTACGTATTCAAATTTCTATTTATTGGAATTAAACATTTGGATGCATAATAAGGTATTCATATTAATTAAACACTTCAATTCAAATTTTGGGGGGAAAATATTGATATGTATTCTCAAGTGCTCATTACGTAAATAATTATTTAAAATATACCACGACATTCTTTAATCAATTACTCTCATTAGCCTTAATTAACGGTAAAAACATTATGTCTCTTTCGTTGAGGTTGATGTATATAATTAAAGGGGATAAAATTTATCTGCATCGTATGTTTACACCACGTGGCTTGGTATAAACACCCGGTGCAGACAAATTTTTTCCTTATTAAAGGAGATGAACGAGTGTGATTAGTTTTATATGAAGGAAGATGTTTCTAGAATAATGAATGGGGTTTTTTACTTATTTTCTTGTGTTAGTATGTATGAAAAATATTATATATTTTGAAACTCATTTATATAAAATCTAAATATATATTATGAGCGGTGAAAATTAGGTGGTTGGGATGGACGCTATCGGGATGGATGTAAAGATAGGGTGGGTTGGAGCCTCGGAGGGTAGGGAGGACACAATTAATTGTGAATGTCATTTGCAAATTTATTTTTTCTACTTTCATTACCATCTTTGATTATTCAAATAAATATATTTCACGTTGATTGAAGTAACGGTAAAATGAACAAATTAAATATATGTATGGGTTGTTTCACTTGATTTTATTGATGAAAACAGTTGAAAATATTTGATGTAATTAGAACACTTAATTAAATATGTCATTAACTTGGTTAAATTAAACTGCAATCTTAAAAGCTAGGAAAATTAATGGAAAGCTAATTGTAACGTTATTTTCACTTAATAAAAAGAGAAATTAACCCAAGATAGCTAGAGGCAAAATAATCCCCAAAAAAATGTCTCTAGTTTCTTTAATAAATATGAAAATAATATTCGTTTTGTGCTTATTAATCGCGATTGAACCTAGACTCTGGCATGTTGTTGGCGTTCAAGGTTTCGGGCCGGGTTTCTTGGGTGGTTTGGGTGTCCAAGGTAACGGGCGGGCCTTCTCATTTGGTTCAGACGGCCAAGGTTCCGGGCGGGCCTTCTCGTTTGGTTCGGGCACCCCAGGTTCTGGGCCGGGCTTCTCATCTGGGCTGAATAATGGTGGGCCATTTTTTTGGAGTTTTAATGGGCCTGAGGCTGATAAGTGTTTAGCAACTTTTAAAAATACTCCAAATTGTGTCCAAGAAATATTTGGGTCATTGTTCAAAATACCATTTAACTTTATTGGGGCTCCATTTCACTCTATTGGGCCTCAATGTTGCAAAGTTGTTAGAGATATTGAAGATAATTGTTGGCCCAAGATTTTTCCAATAAGCCCGCTCTTTCCTCTCACTCTAAAAAATCTTTGTAACTCACAGGGTCAGGGTCAGGGTCAGGCTCCGAGTGAACAACAACCACCATCTCCTCCGTCTCCACCTCAACCAGATGTGTATCCAACTCCATCAACTTCAACTTCATCGCCTCCTCCACCGCAACCATACTCATATTCATTTTCATTTGCAAATAAAGGAGATTAAAAATGGGCTTGTTGGAGAATAGGCCCAAATTTGAGGTTTGGGCCTATCGAACACGAGTCCTTGAAATAAGCTATTGGGCCTTTGATCCATGAAGAATTGAAGAATTCGACAAGGAAAATGGTTTTCACCATTTTTTTTTATGTAATTAACAAGAAAATAAAATCCTATTGTCGTTAAACAATTCTTCGAGATAATCGATTTTTGTTCCAATTTAGGGATTTTTTTTTCATAGGACATCCAAAAAAGAAAAAGAAAAAAAAACAATATTCTCTTTTTTCTCCTAAATATTTGATAATTTCCGTCACAATTAAATGAATTTTGACTGACATTTCAACAATTTGCATGTTAAGCAAGTATTGCAAGCTCAAATAACATATTTATTAAGCCTTGGCATATGCAACAACAAAAAAAGATATAGCATGCATACATCAATAGGATAAGATTACACTCCATATGAAATTCAATAACTTTAAAATCTCAAATTCGCTTACGATATAGAACTTTGAAATTACAGTAAACTTATATCCGTGTGACCTACGTATAGGCCAGAATTCGAATCGTAGAAGCAATCACTCATACCTGCATTAGGGTAAACTGCTCGCATGTAATCCACACTGTGCAAACCTAAACTTCAAAACCCTACTTACATGATATGTTTTATGCATTAAACTGTAACTATTTACCATACGAGTATCAGAAATCAAAGTCCTTTTATCTTGGAGAATTTTTTTTTTTTTTTTTTTTTAAAAAAAGGATGAATATCTAAGCCAAAGTTAAACAACAAGAAGGACAAAGTAGGTGCAACAAATAAAATAAAATACTATATAATAACAAATGCAAATTGACAATAAAGTCAATAAGCAACGTATCAAATAATACACCCAAAAAAAAAGTTCATAATTGAAACACCCAATTTGTCTTTCCTAATGTTTTCTCTCTTGAAGCATTTAAAAAGAGAAAAAAAAAACCATATTATGGAGACTTTCCACTTGCTCCTTAAATTATCTAACATATTTAGCTTATATATATCGATAATATAAAAAAATATATTATTACGTAATTTTTTCTAATACAAGTATAATACGTAGAAATCTTTTTGGATAACTTGACAAATTTCTTTTTTTAGATTGTTAGTATATATAAGTTAAACACGTTGAGATAAAATTTGTAAACTTCTTTCTTTCAATTATAACAGACAAGTATTTGCATGCACACGCAAACATATATGGAGATAAACAAATAAGAATAAAGTTAATGATATAAGTACAATTTTGACCAAAAAAAGAAGAAGTCATGGCATCCCCTTAATATTTCCATCTAATCCATTTGAGTTAATTAATATAGAAGTTGTTATTTCGAAATTAAAGTCGTAATTTTTATCAAAATTGAAATAAAAAAATAATTTTTAAAGTTTATAATAAGTTTATAATCATTAATTGAGTGATCATATCGATCTTTGCGAAATCAACCCTTTCTTTCCTATAAAGAAAATCATTATTTTTTAATTAAAGTTTTCTATTAAAAAGTGTTTAGTAGTTGTTAATTGTCGGTGATATTTTTGATTGAATTAGTGTGAAAGAAAAAGGTATAAGATATAAGTGCGTTATAGACTAAATTAAGAATCTATTATCCCATCAACTTTTTTTCTTTTGTAATTTTCTATACATTTTGGCTTACATGACACGCTCTGTGACTCCACATAGTTGAGACGTGTGAGAGATATTTAAATGTCACGTAAGCCAAAAGGGTGTACAAATTATAAAAAAAAAATGGGTTCAAATAAAAAACAAAACATTAGTTTAGTTAAACTATGTTGCTGAAATTTGTTTATAAGATTTCAGCCATATATAACCTGAAGTAATTTAACGTTATCCCAAAAAAAAATAAAATTTATAACATTATTATTGGTCATATTTTTAAATCAAAGAGAGGATAAGAGGATAACAAGATTATATTTTAAGTTACTTCAGAAAAAAAAATTAATGAGACATGTGACATTGGTCAAAAACACAGGCAATTTTCAATGATATTAATTTGACCTAATAAAGTATAGTAAAGAACAATGGATTTGGTTTTTAGTAGTTATTTTTTGGTGAGAATTCAACTACTTTATTATAAATATCAAGATAGGGTTTTTAAGTTTGTTAAAGAAAAAAAAAAGGAGAAAAAATTAAATTAGAATATTGTCCCTTGAGAGAAAGATATTAATCATAGTTTTATATTCTTATATCATACTCAAATCATATATTTAGTAAACTTAAGTATGAAACATCATCACCTTAGCCAACTTTTCTATAATTATTATTCTCTTCGTTCACTTTTATTTGTCACGGTTTACTTTTCCAAATTTAAATTATGTGAATGTTAATCATATTTTAAAATGTATTTTTGTCAGATTAATATGAAGAGGATCGTGGATTATAATATCTTTCATATAATTTTCAAGCTTTTAAAAATTTATAAATTCAATAGAGTTTGAAAATTAGTTAAGTTGATTCACATAAAACAAAACATGACTAGTAAAAAATGAACGAACGGATGAGTAATAATTTTTTTTTACTACTCCTATTTCTCAAAGGAAAGTTTTGAAACAACAATTAATTATCGTCATGTAACTTATAAGTGACGAGTTCAAATTATAAAAATAATCATTAGAATATTTACATTAAGATAGACTATTTACATTAGACTGCGTAAACACGAAATACTTGTAAACTAAGCTATTTTACTTCTCCTATTTAACTTTTTCTTTAATTTAAGCACAACAAAACTAGATAATTAAAAGGCAAAAAAAAAAAGGCACATAAATCAGATTTGCATACAAAACTAATTCAAACTGACTTTTAAGTTGCATGCATTAATAATGTAAAAAAAATATATATATATATCCATCATGTCACTTAAAAAGTAATTTTTTTTGGTCTCAAATGTCTCAATTTATCTAACAATTTTTTTATTTATAAGTTTATCCTCAAAAGAATAATATATTTAAAATAATTTAGATTTATATATATCCTTTTTATCTTATCATCGATAAAATCATTACTAGACACATCAATTTCTTAGGCTTATTTTAGACCACAAATATCATTTTTTCCAATAAGTTTGTGTATGAAAAAATTACGTCATATAAATTATAACAAAGAGTTGATTATATAATTTTATTTTAAATTAAAAATTTCAAAAAAAAAATTGTTTTCCTTTCTAATTTCATTTTCAATCAAATATTGTCATGCATATGTATATAGAGTAAAATTTGAAACTAATCAAATGCAAAGAAAAAAATTTGACTTTCCAATTAAGTAAATAACAAATAACCAAACATGGGAATCAGTGAGAAACAGCAATTAAATAGGATCAGAAGTTCACAAAATTTCAAAAAAATATAATTAGGTTAATTTCCCAGCTACTACTATTTGAATTTTTTCAAAAAAATAATCTTGTTAGGTAAAGGAATCATAAATGCATAGAGCTAATTAAGATCTTAACAAACACAAAAAAATTATCTCAAAAACAACATAATACATAAATATGTCTTTTATCTTAGTGTTTACAGATATTTTTATATTTTCAACTTTGCATATGCGTTAAATGGACACTTAAATTTGTATAAAGTTGAACAAATAGACGCACAATTAATCTTATGTGACAACTAAAACAAAAAAAAAAGATTTAGTGGCAATAAATAGTGCTAAAACTTTTATTGGCATTAGTTAATTGTCATCAGATTTAATGTCACTATAGGCTTTAGCTAGGGATATTTATGAATATTGCTACTTGCCATTAAAAATACGTAATTTAGCAACAATTAAGCTATTACCGTTAATTAATTTCCACTAAAAATCATTTTTAATGTAGTAACATGTGTCTATACTTATTTAACGTAAATCAGTATGAATTTATATGTATATCCAAAATCAAAGAACATAAATATCAACTAAAGACAAACTAAAAATAACATTTATTTATTTATGCCTCTTAGGGGTGGGCATTCGGTAATTCGGTTCTGTTTCATTTTATTTTTTTTCATTTTTTTTGGTTTTCGGTTCTTGCACAAGGTGTACCAAACACCGAATCGAAATAATTCGATTCGGTTCAGTTTTTATTATTTCGGTTCAGTTTATATTATTTCGGTTCGATTTTGTTGTTTCGATTTTTTTAATGGGCTTGCTTAGTTGGGTTTTATAAAATTTAAAAATTTACAATTTTTTTGTTTGTTTTTTAAGCTTAATGGGCTAAAAATAGTTACGTAAATTTTTTATTTTAAATTATAATATTTATTATTTAACATTAATAATTAATATAATATAAATATATATTATAATATAATATATTTTGTAAACCGAAATATCGAATAACACAAAATCACATATCGAAAACCGAACCAAAATACCAAAAAATACCAAAACATATACCAAATATTTAAAAATCAAAACCAAAATATTAAAAAAATTCAATTCGATACGATATTTGTTTTTCGCTGTTCATGGGCAGCCCTAATACCTCTCAAAACTAACACTGCTTTAAAAAATCAACATATTTAATAATAATTGACCGAGAAATTGGATCCCCTAAAAATATTAATTAAAAGTTATTTAAATGGGTTAAATAAATGTCCCATTAACTTTAAGATATGTAGTTTGTTATACCTATTATTACCTGTCTGAATATGACCTTTTTGACCTTCACCAGAAAAATATCACCAAACTTTTTTTTTTCTTTTACTAAATAATCACATAATTTCTGAATTTTGCAAGATTTTTATAATCTAAAATCTTTTTCTCTTTGGTCTAGCCAGGCTTTATTCAGTTCAAAATTAAATGATCACCAAAACCCTCCACCATTTCCCTTCTTCCCTAGTAGAATTTGGATCTTGCTTGCTTCGTTATTATATCAAAAATGATTTTTAACGATGATTAATGAATGATAATAATTTAATTATCGTCAAATGTGTATATTTAGAGTCAGTTGACACTTTTTGTAAATATTTTTAATGTCTAATATAATATTGGATACAATATTAATTAACTAATGTCGATAAATACTTTAACATTTTTAATTAATATATATAACCTATTGCCGCTAAAAGCTGTTTTTCTTATATGCATGAAGAGTTTTTATCGAAGGATTCAACATCTACTATAGTGCGTTTAAGAGAGTTTTTTGGCAATTTTTTTTTGAGTGATATTCATCTTGTTCTTTAATCATTTGATATTTTTATTGGTAACTGTAGATCTGATTAATTCAGATTCACATTGTATAGACACTGACACATCTAAAACATAATCTACATGTTCAATGAAATTTAGTAGAATTTAATTAAATTTTACAAAAGTACTAAAAGATTTACTGTATTCTTATAAATATTTTATAATTGCGAGTTCAATAATTTTTATATATTAAAATTATTATAATAATTTAATAAATTTTAAATTTGATCCTCAATACATTTAGACCACATACTTTTTGGTGTTAGTCTAATAGTTGTCTTCATCATGAATCTATCACAAGTACTACCAAGTTACTAATCATAGTAATACAATTTTTTAAACATCACATATGTCCAACTCTAAATCTAGTCATCATACCAATTTCTCAAACATCTCATGATGTGTGCCTAGCTAGAAAAAAGGTTGAATAAATTCAATCCTAACTCATTTATCATTTAAATTGAGTTATTCGATATTCATGTTAATATATAAATAGTAATAAAATAATTAAGTCATTAAAAAAAAAACAATTAGAATGTAATCTTCACTGTCTTCTAATTCTATAGAATCAATACTTTACCACTTTCATAATCATCCTCATTTTATTTTAAAACTTTAATTCTAAACGGATTGAAATTGACTATATATTTGTACTCACTTTATTTTTAAAATAAATGGTGCTTCAAATAATTAAGAATTAATTGTGTTTTTTTAATTTTAGCCTTATTTAAATAAAGAGAAT